TGGCGCTGAGACTACTGCTGGCGGTCCTGCTTGAGGTACTACTGGTGCTACTGGAGGTTCTGGAGCTTCTGGAGGTGCTGCTGGAGCGGGTGCTCCTGCTGGGGGTACTGGTGTTGTCCCTGCTGTGTCTGGCGTCGCCGCGCGGCCTTGACCGTACTTCGTTCCACTCCTGCAGCAGGTTCTTGGTCTTCCGCCTTCCTCTGGTCCTCCTCCTCCTTCTTTAAAGTGTCCACAGCCAGTCCCGTCACAGTTACAGTTGCAGCCTACCTCCCCTTTGCCTGCTCCTTCTCCCTACACTGGTCCTACTGGAGGTCTTACTGAGCGTCGTGAGCCTGCGTCTCGCCCTGCGTCCCCTGTTCGTGCTGCTCGCACTAGTGGTCGTGGTTCGCGTTAGCGTCCTCCTCCTGTCCCTGGCATGCACCAGATGTCTCTGCGTCCGTCCACTGCTCCTCTGCGTGCCCCTTTGCCTTCTCCTCCTGAGTCCTCTCTTCCTGCTCTTGCCGACCCGGAGTCGGACTCTCTTCGTGCTGCCAGTCCTACTGTCACGCGTCTCCTTGCTACTGTCGTCACTGACCCTTCTTTCGAGTCCACTGCTGCGTCTGCCCTAGTTGCTGAGCTTGTCGACTTTGCTCCTCGCTGTCGCCTAGACTACGCTGCTAGTCTTGTCGCTGAGTCTGAGTCTGTCTGTCCTCCGTCCGTCGGGGGTGCGTGTGCCCTTGGCACGGACGTCCTTGAGGACAGGCAGGAGGAGTTCCAGTGTCAGGCAGCTGCTTCACCTCATCTCGTGTCCGTACTGCTTACCCCTGAGGGAGACCCGGATGCACTTACGCGGAGGCGATAGAGGGTCCCTACTCCTCTCAGTGGCAGGCAGCTATGGACACAGAGATGGCTTCCTGGAAGTCCACAGGCACCTACGTTGACGAGGTTCCCCCGCCTGGGGCGAACATCGTCAGTGGCATGTGGATCTTCAGGGTGAAGCGGCCGCCGGGTTCTCGGCCTGTCTTCAAGGCACGTTACGTGGCTCGTGGCTTCAGTCAGCGGCAGGGAGTTGACTACTTTCAGACCTTCTCTCCGAACCCGAAGATGACCACTCTTCGGGTACTGCTGCACGTTGCTGCTCACCGTGACTACGAGCTGCACTCTCTCGACTTCAGCACTGCTTTCTTGCAGGGCAGCCTGCACGAGGAGATCTGGGTGCGCCGCCCACCTGGCTTCACTAGGTCGTTCCCTCCTAGTACCCAATGGAGTCTCCGGCGTCCAGTCTACGGTCTCCGCCAGGCGCCCCGTGAGTGGCACTTCACGCTGAGGACTACTCTTGCGGCTCTTGGGTTTGCTCCTTCTACTGCCGACCCGTCGCTGTTTCTGCGCACCGACACCTCTCTGCCGCCGTTCTACATCCTCGTGTACGTCGACGACTTGGTCTTTGCCACAGCTGACAATGCTGGACTCGCCTACGTGTAGTCCGAGCTGCAGAAGAGACACACGTGCACAGACCTGGGTGAACTGCGTAGCTACCTTGGCTTGCAGATCACCCGGGACAGAGCACGCCGCACCATTACCCTGACTCAGTCACACATGGTGCAGCAGGTCCTTCAGCGCTTCGGCTTCACGTACTCCTCGCCTCAGGCCACTCCTATGCCTACTCGCCACTCGCTCTCAGCTCTGCCTTCGGATGAGTCCGTAGAGTCGAGTGGCCCGTATCCAGATCTTGTTGGCTGCCTCATGTACCTGATGACCCGCACACGACCTGACCTTGCATACCCTCTTAGCATTCTTGCACGCTATGTTGCTCCTGGGAGACACCGACCAGAGCACATGGCTGCAGCGAAGAGGGTGTTGCGCTACTTGTGCAGTACGTCGGGCATGGGGCTAGTGCTTGGAGGGCGCAGTCCAGTGGTCCTCACTGGGCACGCAGACGCTTCTTGGGCTGACGACCAGGCTACGCAGCGGTCGTCACAGGGTTACACCTAAAGTCTTGGTTCCGGCTCTGTCTCGTGGCGGGTTACTCGCTCGTCTTCTGTTCTCGGCTCCAGTTGTGAGGCTGAGATCTACGCTGGGGCCATGGCTGCACAGGAGCTTCGCTGGCTCACCTACCTGCTGACCGACCTTGGAGAGCCGCCTCGTTCTCCTCCAGTTCTGTACGTAGACAACAAGGCCATGCTGGCCTTGTGTCGAGAGCAGCGACTAGAGCACAGAACAAAGCACATTGCTCTCCGCTACTTCCTTGCTCGTGAGCTACAGTAGCGTGGACAGTTACGGCTTGCGTACGTGGCCTCTGAGGCCAACACTGCTGATGTTTTCACCAAGGCACTTCCGCCTTGTTATCATCAGCGCTTCTGCACTCAGCTGGGTCTTGTGCCTGTCTTGCCTCACTTGCTTACCTCTTGACCTTACTTGTACTGTTACATATATATATATATATATATATATACCTGCTCTTGCTTGTCTAGCCTTATATATATATGTACTCCTGCATGTGAACTGGCCTTATGGCCTTGAACTTGTGCTCGGAATGTGTGGTGACTTTGTGATCCACCCTGAGCTTTGCTTTGCTTTGCTTGACTGGTCTTGTGACCCCCTGTTCTCCCCCACTTTGCCTATGGGGTTGTGTTAGAACATTATAGCTTATGCTTTTGTGTAGGCTGTAGTGGGGTATCCCATAGGGGGTACAACCCAATGAGGGTTAGTACTTGTACCCACTTCATTCATAGTTCATTCATTCTCGTTCACATTTTCTCACCCTGGCGCCTTACGCTGCCTTCACCCATTTCGTCCGCCGCGCGACCTGAATCCGCGCTTCCATGGCGCCTTACGCTGCCGTCACCCATTTCGTCCGCCGCGCGACCTGAATCCGCACTCCTCTAGCGCCTTACGCTGCCGTCACCCATTTCGTTCGCCACGCGACCTGCATCCGCGCTTTCGCGGCGCCTTGCGCTGCCTCTGCGCATCCCTTCCGGCGAGCCACTTGCTCCCGCGTCCTTGCTTCCGTCGCCGCGCTCTTCTTCTGCGCCTTTTTCCTCTTCACCATCCCGCACTGTCGGGATCTGGTGTGTTTCTTCCTCGCTGTCGGCCTCGTTTGCCGAATCTGACGAGTCCACCACGTCCGCGTCGTCGCGACGCCTTACACCCTCTCCTTGCTGGCCGCGTGCCAGATTCCAAGGGTCCCCGCTGGACGGTTGAGGCCTGGGCTCTGATCCCGCGTGCAGATCGTCCTTGCCTCCATCTCGACGCCCTTCAACGTGCAGATCTGCGTGGTCCGCCACCCTCCTTGGCGACCACTCCCGCGATCTTCCTCGCTCCTGCGAGCGCGTCCTCCGCGACGGCGGCGTTTCCCGACGCGTGTACATCAGCTGCCAGCGCAGCTCATGGGAGTCCATACTGCCCAAACGTTCTCTCAGCTTTTCTCCTGTTATGAAAGAGTTTCCTCCCTCACCCCGTAGGTCCTCCCATAGTGGCGTGCCACCGGATGCTAGATCTGAGGTAACAGCTTTCCACTAATATGAGAGAATAACAGGAGAAAAGCAACGAGAGGGTGTTTGGTACTGAATTTACTTGAACCTGGCTCAGTCGCACACTTCTCGATGTGCACCTCGAGCCAGGCCCAGTTGCTTCAGATTGGTTCGTTAGATTCCCACCCCTCAATGTTTCCTCTAACCCTTCCCAACAACTTCGCCTCAACCCCCCATACTCCCCAGCAACTCACCCACAAATTGTAATCATACAAAGACTACACCTGAACCTACACTTGCATCTACACCCGCGCACCAACTGTTATCGCATATGCACGAAGTGCATATTCGGTGACACATTTGGTCACATCAACGTGACTTTTATGTGACTTCGTAGGTCACATCGTGGCCGGTACTTTCAACCATGACTAAATAACGCCAGACTTGCTGTCACATAAAAGTCACATTTCTGTGACATTTTTGTGACTTTCGGCACTTGCCATTTTCGCGATGTAGCCTTTTCTACCCGATTCCCATCTCAGTCTGTTTGTCCTGCACTGGAACATCACCAAGAAGAACGACGGGATCATCGCTGCGGTCGAGGCAAAGGCCGGTAGCGGCGGCGAGACAGGTTGGATTTCCATTGGCTGGACGAAGAAGCCCGTCTTCATGGCTCTTGCCGACGCCGTGGTGGAGAATTTGGCGGGAGCCGCGCCGAACAATGTGCTGGCTTACGCGATGACGGGCAAGGTTCCGGCCCAAATCAAGAAGGCAGCTGTAGCCGCAGTGAAGCTCTCGGCGAAATCCGTGGTTACCACTGCTGACGGTGGCAAGATCGTCAAGTGAGTTGTGTCTTCCCGTTGCGCCAAACCGCCCATGATCATGCCCGTTCTTGCGCCTCCAACCTCCAAGGAAGCTCCCTCAAGTCACCAACCCATGCATTTCATTTCTCATTTCAGGTTCACTCGTATGGGCAAGGGCGGCTTGTCAGAATGTTATTCTCTAGCCTGTAGTGGGGTGCTCTATAGCGAGTACAACCCATCTAGGGTTTGCTATTTGTATCCTCATTCTTGCTAGTGAACTCCTCTTTTGCCTAAACTGTTTCTTGCCTAGCTAGGGCTTTCCTAGCTATGGCGCCTACCTCTACTGCTTTCTTTAACACGGCTTGGGTCCTGTAAATTACCTGGGTAACAACAACATGATCTGGGCCTACTCCGACGCCCAGGCGTTCACCTCCCACGCCAATCGGTGAATTCTCAGACCCTCAAAGCTTTGGGTTATTTTCGCAAGTAGTTTTTTTTGCTGTCCTCTGTTATCACCAATGCCTGACTTCGTGTGTTTAATTTCACCAGGGGTTCCCTTGTCATCAACCTCGCATGCAAGGTGTAATCGCATGGCGCCGTGCCTCACAGCTCAGAGATCTGTAGTTAGTAGTTGAAACGAGGCAGCTGTAGAATGTAGGGCATGGAGAATCAGCTATGATGTGTACCTGTTGCTGCTTGTTGTTGCATGTATTTTGAGCAAATGCATATTTACCAGTGCAACCATGACCTACTGCAAACTACCCATATATAAACGACGGTGGGAAACAAGGGCAGGGAAGGGAAACGAGGGGATCGGAGAGGCACGAGGGCGACAGGGGGAGAATGTCCACGAGAGAGGGAAACGAAGGGGGGGGAGGGAAACGAGGGGATCGGAGAGGCACGAGAGTGGCGTAGAGGAACGAGAGTGGCGGAGAGGAACGAGAGTGGCGTAGAGGAACGAGAGTGGCGTAGAGGAACGATAGTGGCGGAGAGGAACGAGAGTGGCGGAGAGGAACGAGAGTGGCGTAGAGGAACGAGAGTGGCGGAGAGGAACGAGAGTGGCGTAGAGGAACGAGAGTGGCGGAGAGGAACGAGAGTGGCGTAGAGGAACGAGAGTGGCGGAGAGGAACGAGAGTGGCGTAGAGGAACGAGAGTGGCGTAGAGGAACGAGAGTGGCGTAGAGGAACGATAGTGGCGGAGAGGAACGAGAGTGGCGGAGAGGAACGAGAGTGGCGTAGAGGAACGAGAGTGGCGGAGAGGAACGAGAGTGGCGTAGAGGAACGAGAGTGGCGGAGAGGAACGAGAGTGGCGTAGAGGAACGAGAGTGGCGGAGAGGAACGAGAGTGGCGTAGAGGAACGAGAGTGGCGTAGAGGAACGAGAGTGGCGGAGAGGAACGAGAGTGGCGTAGAGGAACGAGAGTGGCGGAGAGGAACGAGAGTGGCGGAGAGGAACGAGAGTGGCGTAGAGGAACGAGAGTGGCGTAGAGGAACGAGAGTGGCGGAGAGGAACGAGAGTGGCGGAGAGGAACGAGAGTGGCGTAGAGGAACGAGAGTGGCGTAGAGGAACGAGAGTGGCGGAGAGGAACGAGAGTGGCGTAGAGGAGCGAGAGTGGTGGAGAGGAACAAGAGTGGCGTAGAGGAACAAGAGTGGCGGAGAGGAACGAGAGTGGTGTAGAGGAACGAGAGTGGCGTAGAGGAACGAGAGTGGCGTAGAGGAACGAGAATGGCGGAGAGGAACGAGAGCGGAGGGGAACGAGGGCGAAGGGGGGAAACGAATGCGGCAGAGGAAAACGAGGGGGGTGGAGCTAAACGAGGGCAGCGGAGGGAAAGTTAGCGCGCCAAATAGGGCGGCGGAGGGAAACGAGGGCGGCGGGGAAAACAGAAGGGGCGAAGACACTACGGCGACTTGGGGGATTGTGGACGACGGAGGGAAACGAGGGAGGGGAAGGGAAACGAATGCGGCGGAGAGGAACGAGGGCGAGGGGGGGAAACGAATGCGGCGGAGAGAAATGAAGGGGATGGATGGAGACGAATGAGGCGGAGGAAGCGAGGGCGGCGGAGGGGAACGAGGGCGGCGGAGGGGAACGAGGGGGGCGAAGGGAAAAGTGAGTGGCGGCTGGAAACGAGGGCGGCGGAAGGAAACGGTATTAACGGATGGGAGCGAGGGCGGAGGATGGCGACGGAGGGGAACAATGGCAGCGGTGGGGAACGATGGCGACGGGGGGAACGATGGCGACGGGGGGAACGGTGGCGACGGGGGGAGATCGGAGGCAACGGAGGATCCTATAGCCACGGGCAAGCATCTGCGACGCGGAAACGTCAGGGCGAACTACGGAAGTCATGACGACAGGGGCATGAAGACTGGGGGAATCGATGAAGGCGAGGGAAAGCTCACCTTGTTTGGTATCTATTTCGGCACGAATTCCACTCACTAACCTGCAATGTCACACGTGAATCGGCTACCCCCGGAAACTCCCAACAAAGTCTATCATAATAGTGAAATCAGTGTGTAGTAGTGAGCCGAGGAAATCGAGATCTTACTAGACACCACATGGGGCACTAGCAAAACCTGCTGAACATCTATGAAAAAAGGCACGAGAAGGATCGCGCCAAAATCCACAAATGTGAAAAAACACGGCTTGTCAAACAACGCGCTTCGTACAAAAAGAAAAAGGCCGGACAAGAAATTCTCCGTTGTAAATATAGGTGTCCGTTTTAAACTGTTGTTACGGGTGCAATTGAACTAGCTAGTGAAGATTTGAGTCAAAACGAGTACAAGTGTGAGCAAAGGCAAGCACTAACATTAATAGCGACCACAATAAACGATAACGCGGTGCGTGCGAGCTAACTAGCGCTACGTTGAACGCGAGGTTCAGGCTAGTTAGTGCTACGCCGAAGCGTAGGTCGTCTCGGCCGAGTCCAGCTGTGCAAATCTTAGTAAAAGAGACGAGCGAAGTGGCGGAACCTTGGGGGACATGCAAGGCACATGGGCCACCGCCTACGGCGAATAAGGTACCGCAACTGGCAGATGGGGCGGTACTGGCGGCGTTTGGGGAGGTTCAGGCGAAGGGTGGGGCACCTCATGCAGCAGGGAAGAACAAAGGGGGGGAACTGGGGTAGAAACCGCACTGGCATTTGTTTCCCTAAGCAGCCCTCCGTGCCAGCCTACACCACCGCCACCATCGGCAGACATCATACTGTCACGCGACCCATGGGACGCGATAAACAGGGGCAACGAACCGTCGACCCCGCGTCGCACCATCTACGGCCGTGATCTCGAATCGCGCGAACCCGAACTCGTCCCAAGCACTATTCCGGGAACAAACATCCCGCTAGCAGTCATCCCCGATCACAATTTCCACGCACTAATGATGACAACGGTGAACGAAGACGAAGCAGAGGAGGAAGAATGAATGGCGAAACATGGAACCCGCACCTGAAGAAGACACTGACGAGCGATACTAACGCACACCAGGAGTCCACGCAACCGACGACCACTAGCGTCAGCGCCTTGGCCATCCCTCGCACCAAACGCTCATCAATTGCATCACCGCTGAAGTCTTTGCGCCTAACGCAATCCCGCAACATGACGGCACCAAACTCAAGAGCACGCCACAGCCACATACCTGCACCTTTTGCCCCGAAGTTGTTGAAGGATATTGGCCCTGCCCTCGCATGAGCAAAACTGACTTCGTGGTCGGATGTGCGGGAGGTGCAGCCGACCTTTTGCAGGTGAACAAAAGTTGATTGTACACGAGGTCTACTAGGGAATACATGCAAGAGTAATTGAAGCATCCGCGAGTGCAACACATACGTCTCGTGCGCATTTACGGTAGCACGGCTGGTGCAGAGGTTCGCGATTGTTCATCTTCGCGGGGTCGCATTTGACCCTGCGCACTGTTGGCGAATGCACAGGCGAATTTTGGCCAGAAATTTGAATGTGCCATAATTTCGACCAATGAGGAGCTGAAAGTATGGAATGTCGACCAAGGTGGTCGACGAAGGTCGTCAACCCGCGACGACGAAGGTCGTCGACCTACGATGACGAAGTTCATCAACGTGCAGGTTACCTGCTTAACGAGGTACTGCGAAGGCTCGCAAACGTTATCAAGGCCGATGTGGCGAAGTCGACCGACGTGGCAGCACGTGGTCGACGTGGCTCATCAGGTGCAACTGTCTGCATGTGGCCGACCTAGCACCTGCGAAATGTGCGAGACAGTGCACGTCGTGCGTAACTGTCTACAAGCACATGCGAACTAGGTGCTTGCCCATGCGCTTACAATCACCTGCGGATGCAGTGTTTGTCAGAACATTATAGATTATGCTTTTGTGTAGGCTATAGTGGGGTATCCCATAGGGGGTACAACCCAATTAGGGTTAGTACTTGTACCCACTTCATTCATAGTTCATTCATTCACGTTCACTTTTTCACATGGAATCAGAGCAGGTCCCCTCCTAGGGACTGTTCCCAGGGCCCACCGAAGCGCGCCCCGAGGCGCGCGTTCCTTTTTTTTCGCGACCCTCCGTGTCGCCCCTAGCGGCCCGTTACGCCGCCCTTACCTGCCCTCACGTCGCGGCCCCGCCGCCCTCACGTAGCGGCCCCACCGCCTCACCTTCGCGGCCCCGCCGCCCTCACGTAGCGGCCCCGCCGCCTCACCTTCGCGGCCCCGCCGGTCTCCCCTCCTGCCGAGCCGCCCGAGCAGCCGCCCGCCACGCTGCCCGGTCCCGGGGCAGCCGAGCCGCCCAGCAGCAGCCGCCGAGCCGCAGTTCAGCCGAGCCACCCAGCAGCAGCCGCCGAGCCGCCGGGCCGCCGACCCACAGTACACCCGAGCCGCCCAGCAGCCGCCGCCGAGCAGCAGCGCAGCCGAGCCGCACTACTGCCGAGCCGCCCGACCTGCCTAGTCTGGTGAGCACAGCCCCACTGCTACTGCGTGCCCTTCCCCCCACTGCTTACACTGTTAGTCTGTCGCCATGGCTACCCCTAGTGTCCTCGCTTTTGACGCTGAGGGTCGAGCCATTGACTTTGAGGTCTGGGTCGACAACCTGCAGTTGTTTTTACAGTGCGATAGGGCGGACGGTCTTTCTCTCTTTGACCTCACCTCTGGCGCCTCCCCTGCTCCTGCTGCTGATGCTGACCCCACTGTTTGCTCTCAGTAGGCCACCCGCGATGCTGCTGCACATCTTGCTGTGCGTCGCCACCTGCCTACCACTGAGCGCGCGCACTTTAGTCAGTACAAGAGTGCTCAGACCTTGTACGACGCTGTAGTTGCGCGCTACTCTTCCCCTGCCACCGCTGCACTGAGCCGCCTCATGCTACCGTACCTCTTTCCTGACCTTGCTGCCTTTCCTACAGTCGCTGACCTCATCACGCACCTCCGCACTTCTGACACTCGCTACGGCGCTGCACTTCCTGCTGAGTTCTGCGCCAAGAACCCCCCCCCCATGTACATCGCTCTCTATTACATAGTCACTCGCCTCCCTGACTCCCTTCGCGTAGTCAGGGACCACTTCCTCTCAGTCTGTCCCACCACCCTCACTGTCGACCTCCTCGAGAAGGCCCTCCTAGCGGCGGAGAAGAGCATAGTCGCTGTAGGAGCCTCTCGTGGTGACCCGCGCACCCCCATCTTTGAGGGGTGTTCTCCTTCCCCCCTGCTGCCCTCTGTTGCCTCTGCTACTGCTGCCAACCTACTTGGTCTTGAGTCGGTCGGCGCGGCGTCTGCCCCTAGCGGGAGACGCCGCCCTAGCAAGGGCAAGGGGGGCAAGGGCGCAGGTGGAGCTGGCGGGGGCAGTGGAGGTGGCGGTGGCGGTGGCGGAGGGAGTGGGGGTGGCGGTGGGAGTGGTGGTGGGGGTGGTGGTGGTGGTGGCGGCAGCGGAGGCGGCGGCAGTGGCGGCGGCGGCGGTGGTAGCGGAGGCGGCGGTGGTGGCGGAGGTGGAGGCGGCGGTGGCGGAGGAGGTGGAGCCGGTCGGGGTAGTGCCCCGCAGCGGAGCGGCTCTGGTGGTGGTCAGCGCCAGCAGCAGCAGCAGCAGCAGCGTTCTCGGGACATCCCCCCGCCTCAGCAGCTCCGTGAGTGGTACACGCAGCGTCAGCGTGGTGGGGGTCTTGGCCCGTGCACCTACGTTCTTCGTTCCGGCGATCGCGCGGATGAGCAGTGTGGGGGTGCCCACTCCACCCAGCGCTGCTTTGGCCGCCTTACGGACGCTTGGCGTCAGCAGTTCCCCGAGGCTAGTGAGATTCCCCGCTGGGGAGAGCTGTCTAGGGCTGGCGTAGCGATCTTTGATCTTGACTTTGATGCTATCCTTGCTGCCATGTATGCTGTGACTATTAGTGATGAGGGTGACTGTTACCGGTGTTTCCCGCCCGACCCGGGCATTGGTACAGCTGCGCTAGGTGCTTGTGAGGCTACTGCTCTAGGTGCCAGTGCGTCTGCACTCTCAGGTACTGGTGAGGCTGCGCTCTCAGGTACTGCGTCGGCTTCGGCCTCTCTCACCTTCACACTTGACTCAGGGGCTTCTCGCTCCTTCTTTCGAGACCGCACCACAGTCACGCCGCTTGGTCGGCCGGTTGCAGTCTCCCTGGCTGACCCCTCTGGGGGTCCTGTCCTCGCTCACTTCTCCACTGTCCTCCCGTGTCCGGCTGCCCCCTCGGGCACCCTGTCGGGTCCGTACCTCCCCTGGTTCTCGACGAACTTAGTGAGTGGTGCTGACCTGCAGGATGCGGGGGTTCACCAGTTTACTCCTGCGAGTCAGCGGGGGACCCACTGCTCGGACGCCCGCACAGGCCGACACCTAGCCACGTTTTCGCGTCGGCCCGGGTCGAGTCTCTACACCCTGACCGTTGAGTCTCCTCCAGTCCCTGCGTCTGGTCAGGTAGCTGCGTCGGGTCAGGTGTTTGCTGCTGCGTCCAGGTCTGGTCCTGAGTCTGCCCCCTGCTCGTGTCGCCTCCTGTCTCACGAGACTCTCTTGTGGCACCACCGTCTTGGCCACCCCTCCTTGCCTCGTCTTCGGGGCATGGCTTCCCGTGTCCTTGTCTCTGGTCTCCCCCGGTCTCTCCCTCCCCTTCCTTCGGGGCCAGGACCTTCCTGTGTCCCCTGTGGCTCCGGGCTGCCCCTCACTCCTCCCAGTTTCCCCCGACAGAGGCTCCTCTGCAGACGCTTCACATGGACGTGTGGGGCCCAGCCCGCGTCCGTGGACAGGGTCACGAGCGCTACTTCCTGCTGGTGGTTGACGACTACTCGCGTTACACCACAGTCTTCCCCTTGCGCAGCAAGGGTGATGTCACTGAGGTGTTGATCGACTGGATCCGCGCGGCTCGTCTCCACCTCAGGAGGAGCTTCGGCTCGGACTTTCCTGTTCTGCGTCTGCACTCTGACCGAGGCGGAGAGTTCTCCTCTGGCCTTCTTCGAGCCTACTGTCTTGCACGAGGCATCCGCCAGACCTTCACGCTTCCGGACTCTCCACAGCAAAATGGGATTGCTGAGCGCCGCATTGGCAT